TAAATTACTTCTAGTTCATTCTACTAGGCTGCATTATGGACAGATTTTGATGAAAATCCTTATTACCCAAATATGCTTGTATCATTTGTTTGGATTAGGAATACATTTCTAAGTATTAGAAATAAATCAGGAACATTTTCTGAAAGGCCATTAGCTTTTCTCCAGCAGCCCAAAGCTGCAGAGTTAACACTCAGTGTTGTGGACACAATTTTGGCTTTCAATATTATCTCTTCTCAGTGGGAAAAAGAGATAACTATTATTTGGATAAAGAAGAAATATCCTTTTCCCCTCAGCTTGGGTGTTTCTGAAGAGAGCTATTATTTAAACCTACAACTAGTTCCAGAGTAAGATGAGAAGATTTGTGTTGTTCTCCAGCTAGGTAGAGGGACAGTAGAGAGACCCAAGGTGAACAGGACTTTCTCTAAGTGCATCAAAAAAAAATCAGGAAAAAAACGCTACACCATTAAATGGACTAAATGAACTTAGAAATCTTCATTTTCCTAGCACTATAAGCCATCAGTGAAAGACTATGTGTAATCCTATTAGCCTATATTTTAATCAATCGATGTGGTTACTATGGAAAAAGGAGAATATGGCCACTGTTTATCCTAGAGCAGGCATAAATCTGAGCTCTAGACATGCAATTCAGGATTTTATTTCATCACTAAACTCCTAACATTTTGAAAGGCTATAAATAGTGGGGGTATGGCTCATGACCCCTTCATGACTACATCCTTTTAGAGATTACACAGTAGATGATAAGTAAGAAATGGCACCACAAGACAAGAAAGCAGAATTAGAGTCAGTACAGCTCTGAATTCTGTCATTTGTTCTTTGAAATCCAAGAGAACAGGGTGACATATGAAATGAAGACTTCTATTTTCAGTACTGGGAATTGAAGCCAAAACATCTGACTGGCTTGTAGTTCCTGACCAAATTAAGATTTGATTTTAAGATCTGTTTTACTCTGATAACAGACCTACAACCCATAGGGCTAGAGAGTTTAGATAGAAGAAAAGTCAGGAACACATGGATCTCCCTCGAATGGATAAAAAAGAATAGATTTTTTGCGTGGACTGGGGAAGGTTGAGGGCAGGAATTAGAGGATCAGGTGGTAAAGTGAGGAAAAGTAGAGTTGAGAAAGAGAATGTGGGAAGAGACATATGAAACTAAGGAGAGATGATGTGGAAACCTAGTATAGTGGAAACACCCTAAAATATATGATGGCAATCTTAATGAGGTCTCTAATAGTGCCACATACAGAATACCACCTGGCCATCTCCTATCACCAAACAAGGCATCTAATATCGAAACTAGGTTCTATTCAATTGATTTCTTAGTCAAGGTGGTCCCATGGATGTACCCCAAAATCTCAAGCTGTTGCCAAGACATTCGATTTCTTCTGAAAACTGACAGCAGGGTGACATGGCCAACCACAGCACCTACACAATTCATTAAACATGGAAAAGTTGAGCTTGTCCTACATGGGGCCTTCACCAGGCTACCAAAAGAGAAAAGTAAATACCAACCCAACCACAAAGCCTTTGACCTACAATCTGTCCTGCAAGCAATGTATGCTAAGGCAATAATAAAATAAATATTGTGGAAATAACACACCAATACCTAATTTGACTTAGGGTCCAGGCCACAAGATGGAACCCATACTTGACACTACTTAGTTGACTAAGACCCTGAGACGAGATAACCCAGAGACCTAGAGTAAATCCAAAAACTACTGATCTAAAAATAGGAGAAAAACATCAATAAAAAAGCATCAATAAAAGTGGTATTCTGCCGTACTTATAGATCAGTGCCTTATTCAGTTATCATCAAAGAAGCTCCGTCTTGCAGAAGATGAGAACAGAGACCCATAGCCAGACAACATGCAGAGAGAGAATCCTTTAAACACAAAGCTTTACATGGCATGTCTCCATCAAATGCCTTCCTTCTGAGCTTGGGGAATCCCACTGAAGAGGAGGCAGCAAGATGGTAAGAACCAGAGGGGATGGGGGACACTAGGAGAACAAAGCCCTCCAAATCAACTCAACAGGAGTCATATGAGACTCGCAGAGACTGAAGCAGCAAGCACAATGCCTGGGTGGCTCTGTAGCAGGTCCTCTGTATATGTCCTATAACTTCCAGCTTAGTAATTCTAATGGAACTCCTTGAGCATGTGAAGAAGTCAGTCTCTGATTCTTGTGCCTGCTCATGAGGCTCTCTTTCTTCTGTTTGGTTGCCTTATCTGGTCTTGTTGTAATGATTTTGTTTTATTTTACTATATTTTATTTTGTCAAAAAATAAGTGGAAAGCTAAAACCCTATTTATTTTATTCTACTGTGTGTGTGCTGTGTGTGTGCAGGTGCACATGCGTGTATGTACATGTGAGTAATCCAGAAGAGGCCATTGGATCCCCCGAAGCTTGAAATTTGTTGTACTACACACTAGATTCTACTCCAACGCCAGAGCAGGAAGCACTGTCAATGATTGAGCCATCTCTGCCCAGCTTTCGGGCCCTTAAATATTTAACAGTTTTTGCCTACTGACTCCAGCAGCCCTCACTGCAAAACAGCTAAATGAAGCAGCTTGTGCTGTCTGCTTTCCCTTTGTCCTTTCTTTTTCCTAGTCCCCTACCTTTGACCCTTCTGCTCTCAACTGTTTGCATTCAGATCTCTACCTCAGGACCTGCTACTCTATGAAGTCAAATTAAAATACTCTGCAGCAATCCTGTGCTGATTCCTTTAACTCTACATCCATTCCAGCAGAAGTGTGCTGCATATGGAGGCTTTCTTCATTACACCCACCCCTTAGATTTCCCTATAGAAGACTGCACACAAAAGACCCCAGAAGCTGCTCATGTGTGACCATGCAGCTGGAGAATGGATATGGACACCACTATATGACTTAGATGCACAGAGGCTAAAGTCAAGAGTCTGTGACCTCTTGACACTGTTGTAGTTAACAAAAATAGAGCAAGTCAGAGATCAAATACAGTGTGTGCTAGGGAGGAATCAACAGTCACTGGCTATTTTTGTCTTCTTCCTTCACCACTTCTAGTCCAAGGGCAGAACAAGATCTAAACGAGCCGGAGTATCTGGTGGCACTTTCTAAATAGAAACATCTCTCTGATTCAGTAAGGAAAATAAAAGGAAGAGGAGTAGCTGCAGTGGTCAGCACAGGCTGCTCTTCCCAAGAGAACAGTCCTATACAGGGACATGAGGAACAAGTCCTGCTAAAACTCAAATGAAATTCTTCCAGCCATCCTCCAGTTTCTCAGCAGAAGACACCAAGGGTCCTTTCTCTGTCTTTTCCCAAAAGGACACCTGTCCAGGCCCCAAGTTAAAATCTTGGAATCCTAGGTGTTGCCTGGATAAATACACATGTAATGCTTCTTGAGACATTTTGATACACAAAGTGGAAATGAGGACCACACAATTGGAACATAAAAATAATAACCTCGTGTGATTCAATGAAACATGATTCCTTTGCCCCTAAATAAGAGAATTCTTAGAAAAATTCAATGTGTCCCCAAATCTTTCAAACCACACAGGCATGGCTGGCTTGAATTTTTAACTCTCATTGCACTGAATGATCACATGTTTGAGTAGCAAGTGGGTCCTGATGGTGTTCACTAACTTTGATGTCTACACATCAAGGTGGACCTGCATGTTGTAGATGCTGACTTGGGGCAGAAAGCTTTTCTGTGTATTTATCTCATGAACTCTGCTGACGGCAGCTGAGGGACTCACGCTCCATTTGCAATCACTTCTCAGAGCATGGGGTCTAAACTTCAGTGCCACCTGCGTAGCACTGGCACTTCTCAGAGGTGACACTTCCATCAGTAACGTGAAACGAAGGCATGAACAACAATGATGCCATCTACTATGTTCATTGACAGAACCTGGCTTGTCATTTTAGGGTAAGCCAGAATTTTAAGGTAAGGTTGATCTTGGCAGTCACCTAAGGTTTGAGAGAAAAGCTCATGTGTTTAAGTATGTATGCACAAATAAAAAGAATCATATGCGTATATGGTCACACACATATGCACATATGTATATGTTAGCATGTATGCAAATATCTCACATATGCAAACAAAAAGAGAGCAATTGGATGGAGTCATAACTTGAAGGCCAGTTGTATCCTGATTCTTTATTTATCCTGTTTGCTTCTTTCTGATTTAAAAAGTTGGAAAAAATAAAAATAACTCACTAAAAATGCTTAAGTAAGAGAAAAAGGCTTGAATCATTGTTCTGCCAGTTTGTCCCATGATCATCTCTGTGCCCAGTCAAATTAATAATGTCTCCCTGGTCTACGTAGTAAAATCTCTGAAGTAGACTTGCACACATCACACTGATTTGGCTCAGGCATTGATATTAACCGCAGAAAACATGATAATAGATGTACCTGGGCAGCAGCAACACTAACTGGGTTGAGTTGCAAAGGTTCTCAACCTGTGGGTTTTGCCCCATTTGAGAGACACATATCCAAGATCCCACATATTCGATATTTACATTGTGATTCATAACAATAGCAAAATTACAGTTATGAAGGAGCAACAATATAATTTTGCGGTTGGGGGGTCACCACAATATGAGGAACTGTAGTAAAGGGTCAGCGTATTAGGAAGATTAAGAACCACTGAAATAGAGGCTTCATATGGAAGCAAGTGTATAGTAATAGAGAAACAATGATAGAAATTACATAAATACTAAACATATTCTGAAATGACATTTTACTTTATTTCTTGATGCTTCCCACGCACACACACCTACACCCACACAACAGCACACACACTCTTGACCTCAAGCCATGGAAACCTTCCCTTGTCCCCACGTAAATGATATTTTGCCTGTCGTTTTTATGTTTTACTGGCTGGTGGATTCCATGTAATAATTGTAACAGTTTTCTGTTACTGCTGGTTCCCCTGCTGCAAATGAGCTAATCTGTTCAGAGGAAGATAATTGCAGAGCAGTTGAGATAAAAAGGAAAGGCCTGCATCTCACCGCTGTTGTGAGCCTCCAGCTGCGAGGCAGAGTTCACAGCCACCTTGCATAGCGAACAGTAAAGCAGCCTCTTTGCCTTTTCTTCCTCAGTCTCTGTGGAGGGACTTGAGCTGTTGCCAGTGGCTGCCACCGCTGTGGGGCTTTTCTCCGGTTTAGAGATCTTGGTTGTTACGGTGTTGTTCTTGTGCATTTCCACATTTGTCGTTGATATCACTGTCGTCCCTGTGGTACTGTCTGTATTCGAGACAGAACAGGAGAAAGAGTTAGAAAATAATGGCAGCATCTCTCCCTACTCAGAAACACATCACTAATGTAATAATCTACTAAAAATGATAACAGTATGTAGCCAGAACGGTTTGACATCCTGACATCCATCACAAATGACCACAATTAATTTCACACATTAAAATATGTTAGATGATGCCTCAAAACATACACAAGTACAGTTAGAAACTAACTTTTTGCTCCAGAATAGGCATAACACAAATTTCTCTGAACACACTGCCTCCCTGGAGGAACTGTGATAGTAAGTATCCTTCTTTATATACACGTTTCAATGCCAGTAGTTTTTAAGATAAAGATACAGAAAGAATACTCTTCACTGTTTTCCTTTTTCTTAGTTCCTGTCTTCCTATCTTCCTAATACATGCATTTCTTTATTTCAATAATAGTATAGATCCTTTGGTACACACTCAGGAAAAAGTTTACAGGATGTTAGTGTCACAATTGTTGTGTTCAGTTCAGCAACTCATTGAAATCATGACTGTATTCATAAAGAATTCTAACTCAGTACCCGGTACCAAAATCACCGATATAAAAAATAAGTGAAATTCTAGTCTGAATATTTATTAAAGGCTTGCTCTGTTTCAGCATGTGTGCAGGAAATTCATGGCAGGTGTAGTCAATCAAAGACACTACTCTCAAGGCATCCCAGGCTTGTCATACCACGTTAGTATTTCAAGAAGTTGACGACCATGAAATGCTTGATGTATTGTAACCCAACAACCCTCTCACTCCAAGTTCTGATACTAAATCTCGAGAGATCAACCTTCGAAGTGCAACCACCTCACCCTAACTTTCCTCAGAGACACACTAAATTCCCTGAATGTATGCCAATCAGCATATCAGTAACATTCATCATACCCAATGATTGTTAACAAATAAAATCTGTTCTTGGGTACTACCTAAGCTCATATTTTTTTCTGCCTCTCAGCTGATGCTTAGCCTCCCTAATACTCTCAGCCTACCTCTCCAGCTGCTCTTAGTTTGCTCTTCCACAAGTCGTCATAGACTGCCATGGTCACTGTTTCATGCCATAATAAAAAGTCTGAAGAAAAATGCATTTGTCGGTGGGTATAAGGGACAGTGATCTGTTTGTAATGGTGTATGGTATGGGTAAATATATATGATGTGTGTGCATGTTTGTGTGTGTGTGTGTGTGTGATGTGAACCTGCATATACACCAGGATGACAGGTGTTGTTCCTTAGGTGCCAACACCCTTGTTTTTGGAGACAGGTTTTCACTGATCTGAAGCTTCTCAAGTAAATAAGACCAGTTGGACAAGGAACCCCAGTGACCTGCTCATCTCTGCTTCTACACCAGTGCAACTACAAATATGTGGCACCATTCTCAGCTATTTTATGTACGTTCTGGGGGTCAAACTCAGGTCCTCATGCTTGCACAGCAGGCACCTAACAGACTGGGCTGAACATCAGCCCTCTGTAGCTCATATTGTGATGTATTTACTTAGGTGTAGGACTATGGACCAAGGCTGTTTGTCAGTTACAAGATGAAAAATGGGCTTTTCTTAGGGCTGTTCTATAAAAAGATGCAACTAGATCTAGTTTCCTTCAACTGACTTTCACACCCTTTAATCACTTATTTATCAATAAGTCTCTTCCAGTGGAAGGGAAACTATTTCCCAATTAGTTACATATTTTTAAAGGGTCATCTGTGAATTAGTACCTCATGGGCAAAGAAAAACTAAATCTTTCTAACTTTTGCTTCTGAATACAGGTAGGCGTTCTTTCTTTCTTCTTCTAATTTGTATTTATGTGTATACATGGTGTATGTGTGTGTGTTTGTGTTTGTGTGTGTGTGTGTATTTATGTGTGTGCCCCACATGTATACATACACTTGTGGAGGCCAGACTAATGGATTGGATTCCCTGGAGCTGGAATTGCAAGTGGCTCTGAACTTTCAGACCTGAATGAGAGGAACCAAGTTTGATTTCTCTGCCTGTGCAGTAATTGCCCTGACCCACTGAACATCTCTCCGGTCCCAAGATGTCCATCTTCTGATTAGCTTTCACTAGCCCAATAAATTCCCATTATTGAAAACCAGATAATAGCTCCAAAATGTCTCTAAGAGTCTAGAAGTAGCAAAAAACCAGTAGCTTTCAGATAGGTCTATAACTGTTCAGTTTACCAACAAACAAAAACGATTTAAAACACTTGTCTCTAAAATTATCACCAGCATTGAGTTTACCAAGGGTTTATATTATAAAATGAATTTTATGTACTTCTCAAACCATTTCATTTTGCCTTTTCTTGAGCTACAGACATCAGAAATCTCCAGAATTTAAGGAAATGATACAGGGCCTCACAGTAGGACAGAGGGAAGCAGGGTGAAATACTTCATGAAATGTATAAATTGGAAATTTAATAAAAGAGGGAGACGTTAATGGCAATCTTTGCCATGACTGTGATTGTCCATGGTAAGATCACAAGCAGTTCTGAGCTACAATCACTGAATTTCCTTTGCATTCAGTTCTATGGGGAGTGAGGATTGTAACTACCATACTTTAAACCCACTGTGTCAGTACAGTGAAGTCAGAATGCATTGGTGTAGACATGTATTTCAGGGAATGACCATGGGAAAGATTTCCCTGGTAATATCCTCCTTCTAAGAGCACTTCCTATGGACCAGTATATTTCTTTTTATATATGGATCTAAAAAGGGTACATAACACAGACCATATTAATCCTAAAACAATGTTCTTATTTACAGTCACATTTGTAATTTAAAAAATGCAGTCATGGCTCTTCCAATCCCCCCCCCCCCAATAACTGTACTAGTCTTTTCTACTGCATCTAGAGGGCAGTGCTCATTTATCCCTGCTGTGGAATAATGTTCTTGTACCTTGCAAAGATTTGCCACTCATATTGGTTTACTAAAATGCTAATTGGCCAATAGCCAGGCAGGAAGTATAGGCAGGGCAACCAGAGCAGGAGAATTCTGCGAAGAGGAAGGGTTCAGTCTGTAATTACCACCTAGACACAGAGGAAGCAAGATGAACATGCTGCACTAAGAAAAGGTACCAAGCCACGTGGTTAAACATACATAAGACTTATGGGTTAATTTAAGTCATAAGAGCCAGTCAGTAATAAACCTGAGGTAATCACCCAAACAGTTTATTATTAATATAAGTCTCTGTGTGTTTCTTTGGAACTGACTGGTTGCAGGACCAGGTGGGATGGAAACCTCCAACTACATATTCCAAAAACACTGTAAGGTGACAAGTGCCAGGCTCTGTGCTTAGGACTTAGTAAAGCCTTCACACCTGATGGAGACTCCTCACTTGAAACAGTATCTGGGAATTCATCACTAAATGCTTAACTTCCAACTATTTTGACTACATAGTTGAGAATGTGTTTGTTGTTTTTTAAGCTTACAAAAATTGATAAAGACACAAAACTATATTTTTCTAATTTTAAATTTAATGTGTAGATCTTGGGTTCATAAGGGAAGACTCCTATTCATTTATAAAAAGACACTTGTTTTCTCTTTGTTTTTCTCCAGTAAAGTGACATTTACTCAAATCAATAAATTAACCTAAAATTATACTGCATTAAGAGAAAATTGACTAGTCTATATTTGGTAATAAAATCAGCATAGAAGTTTTTTTTACAACATGATACATTAAATCACCAATTATACATAATTCTTATTTACCCATTAAAAGAATGTTCAGGTCTAGTGATAGCTCAGTGAGTAAAGGCATGTCTCACCAAGACTTAGAACCCATGTTAAATCTCTGTGTCCCATACAATTTAAGGACAGAACTACATCTCTCTGGTTGTCTTCTGACCTATATATGTGTGCCATGACATCACACAGACAGAAAAAAAGACAGGCAGACAAATGGGCAGAATGACAGAGACACACAAACACACACACACACACACACACACACACACACACACACATAATAGAACGGAGAGAACAATATTCAAGGCAGAACAGTTCCCCAGCACACCAAATGGTGAGATCCACCTGAGGTCCTTTATCCTTGAAATCCACAGTCTCCATTGAGTCTCAGAAAATAAACTGAAAGTCCGAGGCACCCCATTTACTTCCTAATCAGTGATCTTCTATACTATCAAGGTTGTAATGGCAAAGGATGTCTTAGAAATTGTATCAGTGCAGGATGTTCAAGGAGACATGATGACTGAGTGACAAGATACAGTAGTGATTCAAACAAACAACCTCTCTCCGACACCCCATGCCTCATAAGTCAGAATGAGACAGAAGCTTTAGGAAATTGCTCATCAATGTGAGTTCATTAGTTTTAAGGAACAAATCACAGCAGCACTGTGAAATACTGATAAGGGGAATTTGGTAAAGAGCCTGGAGGGTTGGTGCTATTTTCTAACATCTATTTCTAAATCTAAATTTAAAATTCAAGTCTATTAAATGCAAGGAAGAGGACTTGCCAACAAAAGTGCAGTACAATCAGAGGCACATCCAGAGCTATAGAACCCAGTTCTCAGTCTGGAGATAAGTTAACTTCAGGACATTTTCTGCGGTCAAGCTGTGCTCTCGAGTGGAAACTCAGACTTGGTATTTCATAGCCTACTTCTAAATTTGAGCCTGCCATTGTACTCTGGAATGACTCATGTCTTTAAACTCCATTTCATCAACATTTCATATTAAGCAGTTAATTTCAGCATTAAGACACTGTGGGTAGCAAGGTCATTAGATATAGGTCATGCGCTTAGTGGTGGAAGGGATACACTCAAAACTTCAAACACTAAACTCTCACAAATCTAGCTTGTCACTTGCTCTGTTCATTTCTGTGCTGTTATTTTGCACAACCCAGGCACTTGATAAATACTTATGGAAAGAAGTGAAGGAAAGAACACGATTGAGCACGGTGAGGCACTTTTCAATGCATTTGTAGGGACTAACTAATCCAACTCATAAAAGCCTAAAAGATGCATATCATTCTTGT